ATATAGTATATGAGATAACTTGAACATCTCTAGAAACCAGTGTGAAAAAAATATAACAGCCAAATCGCATTGCAATACTATTACGTGTGGATTTTCATGTGCACATTCCCAGACGCTACAAACTTGATAAGAGCCGAAAGCAAGGAAATGCATATCACAGTTGCAATGACCGCTAGGAGAAGTCTCTCCACATCCGCGTGTTGAGAGACTTGAGCTATTAATTTTGCAGGCACTCCACACAAGCACATGCATGTTAAGTGAGGGTATACGTTATCATTTTGGGTATGATCGAATGGAAATACATGTTCATGTCATCCTCTGATCCACTCATCCAAATCATCCTGCAAAGCTCATGCATAATGGTTTAAGAAATAAAGTATAGATTCTCAAAGGACAAGATTGGTAGCTAACAAATAGTTGATGCTTACAATTAGCCTATGGTCTCCTCCTCCAACATGTATTTCCTGTTTGAGCGTTGTGAAAGGTCAGGAGGTCCAGGCAGGTCAAGGCGATGGCCACCTTTGACTTTGGAAATGCAAACCCCCTCTCGTGGCCATCTCCACAACATCATCCAACATATTGACGTTTAGCTGACCGAAAGGAACTATACATATTTAGCTAGGAAATCTAGGAACAACAAAATAGACCAGTCGACATGTATGATTAAGGATAAAGAATGCACTAACTTTCAAACTTTTTTGATGCTATCTTGCCTGACCACATATATTGTCAACATGGAAATTCTGGTTTCTGAAATCAGTTTCCTTGCTCAGTAGAACACCTATTATGAAATCTGTTTGTTCCCCATACACACATATGGAATGGCAGCTCCCTGACACGAAATGAACATTGTCTGATGGCAAGAAAGTTTGAAATAGCGCGTGTGGGGGTAGCAAGATTGATTAGAACACACCATTTACAACCACAACAGCAGTGCTTCAAAAAGTGGGATGTGGCAAGCTAGCCCCCTGGGCATTCATTGTGGCCCCAAAACAATCTGTTATGTTGTATTCCATATACCCTATTTTACAGTAGTCTATTTTCTCATCATCGTCAAGAAAAATTAATTAGAATGTACCCATTCCGGCCAGCGTGGCAATACTTCAACAAGCCAGATGGACCATGTGACCCTGGTTATGCATCGTTCGCCCCTGTACATGGTCGTCACCAGGCACTGTGGCAGCAACCACCACCATCAAAACATCAGTTGACTTATAACAGTGAGGTTGGACCTCATGAGGTAAAAACATTGATGAAGCTTATGATATTCTGCTATCTCCTCTATTGACCTGTAGCTCTGTAGCCCTGGAATGGACCATCTTCACTTGTTAAAAATTACTCGCAAGATACATATTCTTAGTAGTAATTCTCTCACATGTGCTGTCATGGTTGATGGATCCAACTTGACATGTTCTGTGCAATTTTGCATTATGTGTTTTGAAAGTAAAAGATGAAAAAAAAACTACGGGCACCAAGTTTAAAAATATGTAACCAGTAAGCCTAAAAGCAACTAAACTGTTATATTAAATTCATTATTTGAGTTCATTGGAATATACTCCCTCTGTCCCATAATGTAAGATGTTATAGTATATTGGATGTAATAACGTCTTACATTATGGGGTGGAGGGAGTAATAAGCAACAAAGATGAAATTATGTATTTGTGCTATGCTGTGATGGGCTACTTTTGATGTGTTGCCTAGGTGTCTATTTTTCCATCATCTTACCATCAGCTGTTGCCTATGATTTCAGGCACCCCTGCCATCCTTCAACAACTGCAGTGGAGCCGGCTACCATTGGTATTCACAGCAATTTTCTACCCCTAACTCATTTGATTATGGCGCACACACAACCTATGGCAACCACCAACACCAGTGGGAGCAGCTTCCCAGTACTCTGGAGCTGCCTATTGCATCTTGGCAGCATCCACCTCCTCCGTTGCATTGTCGTCCAACACCTAGCAAGGTAAAAACAACACTGAAAACCTGTGTTTGCTGACATGGTCCTCTTTTAGACAGTATAGACATGGAGTGAACCTTTCATTAAGATTACTTTTTCAAGATAGCTTGTTGCATATGCAAAACCCTTGTGTGTTTCAAACTCAAATTAAAGAGGGTTACACAGTGTCAGACTATGTAAGGTAATATCCTCTCATAGTTTGACACTATTGCTTATCTAGAGGATCATTGCTTATGGTCCGAACTATGAGAAATGTTTATTTCCTAGAAATTCTTTGACACCAGGTACCAAAATAACTTCTACCTGACACAACATTTAGGATCTTACTACTGGAACTGAGCATGGGAACATTAAGGTTTTACACACGCTCATGTCTAGAGTGACCTACAGACAAGTTAATGGATCAGCACTCTTGTCCTTTTTGGTCTTTTTCACCTGTGCTACTCTTCAACAGGATCAATTATGTCCTACAATGTGATGTTTCCTTAGCATAGACTTTCCCACTAAAAGAGTGATTTTAATGTGACAGAAAGTAAAGATCATGTGTGTATAAACTTTCTATTGCATGTATGAGCATGCGTTGGCTGTATGATAAACTGTGTACTGTGTAATACCTTGATCGCTATCGGTGGCGGATCCTCGACGCGATCGGCGGTGGGTCCTGGAATGATCGGCGGCGGGTCCTGGAAGCAATCGGCGGCGGATCCTATCCTGAACGACAACAGCACCGGATCAGGGGATCCGCGTGCGACTCTAGAAGGGGATCGACGTGAAAGTGATCCGCCGCGGACCTTCAACGAGATCGGCTGCAGATCTGATCTTGCTTTGCACTGGGAGGGCGGCGGCAGACGTAGGGACGAATGAAGGCGGCGAACGACTCATGCGAGCGAGTGCTTCGAGGGCACAAGGAATCGCTCGTGGGTGTTGGCGTCTGGTTAATTTTCGTAGGTTTTATTTCGTAGATTTTTTTTACTCCGTTCTTTCCTCCATCGACCGGAGGTTTTCCGCTGGAAATCGTCGATGCATAACATTTTTTTGGTTTGCGGGTCCTGGGGGGAATCGCTGGGACGTGGGAGGTGGGATTGAGGACGAAAAAAACCGGCTTTGGTGGGACGAAAAAAACCCTGAAAGCGAGACTACCAACTGCTTCATTAGGAGTAGAGATGATGCATAAAAATATTAAGTGGCTTGATGCATTGTATATTACTTACAATAAGGGTAGTTAGCTGCTCTTTCTTGCACAGTGATTACTCGATGGTGATTATCATTTTTTAATGTCTTGTTCTATGATTTTTTTATCCTCAATTATGCCTTTCTCAGCAATTTCACATATTTATCACCTATACTTTCAAGAATAAAAACTATACCGGGAATTGTTGACAAATTAATATTTAATGCAAACCTGCTACCCCCTCCATCCACATATATATATATGGCCTAATGCATTTTTCGAGATTGTCTTTAACTATTCATAAGATTAATATTATATGAGATGTATAATGTGAAAATTATATCATTGGAAGCACCTTTCACGTACGTATTTGAGAGTATGGTTTGTGTAACTTGCATATCATATATTATTGCTCTAACATGCAATCAAAGTTACATGAAAACGCCTTAGACCCTATATAGATGGACGAATGGAGTATATACAATTGAGCAGTCACAAGGTGACCTTGATTTGAAGGTGAACAAATGATCTAGGGGCTCTTTTTTCTCCGTTACAACGCACATGCATTTTTGTCTAGATGACTTTTTAACAAAAAAATCAATCGAGAAGTAATAATCAATGCAACATTAATACAAACATTTATTGAAACTGAATATAAAAAATGGTGCGTAATGACAAGTAAATTCTTCAGGACTTTGCGGAGTCCAAGGTTTGCTGGGTGCGTCATTTGGCGAACAAAGTTGCTTATCTTTTAGCTAAGGAAGGTTGTATGAATATAAGATTTGTAAAATATGGTTCCATGTCATGCTGGTTAATAAATCATAGCGATTCCAACTACTCCATGGTGGGGTAAAACAAGAAATTGTACCTAATGACACATGGAGCAGGCTTGCAAGATTTCAAGCCTGTTGCAACATACAAACATTTATACTAGTACACAGTAGTAATATTTGAAGGGAACAATAAAATTATGAATGTGTCTAGGGTACATCTAGATGTGCTCTAGTTATTGCACATCTAAATGACTCAATCAAACTAGAAAGAAAAAGAAAAAAGACTAGCAAAAATGGTTGCACGAATCTTCACGTAAGATCATTAGCATAGGACTTAGATATGCAATACTTATGATATATCTAGATGTGCTTTAGCAAAACTGTAAAATTATCGAGTTTCAGAAATTCAAAACGTAAACCATGTGAGGAATCCTACAAGTTTAATGATCAAGTTTAAAAAACAGTTTTGTTAAAGCATTTCTAGATGTGTCATAAGTATTGTATATTTAAGTCCTATGTTATTGATCTTACTTCGAGATTCGTGTGAATTTTTCTTCTTCTTCTCTTTATACTTGATTCACTCATTTAGATGTGCAATAATTAAAGCACATCTAGATGTGCCCTAGACACACTTGAAAAAAAAACCAAACTTAAAACATAGCGAGAATCCGACGATTTAGCGGATCGCAAAGACGGTCTGCTTCCGCACCAGCGTACCCTTGTGAGTGTTTGGTAGACGGTCCGTATTTAAACAAATGAGACTCTTTTTTAATTTATTCATCGCCCGGAATGGAAATGGAATGGCAGGTGGCAACTCGGTGCTGCCCCCACCGAAGACCAGGGTTGACACATTGACACACACACATCACGAGTACTGAGTACACAACACGCACCCACACACACTGACTGATCCAACCAACAACCACCAACCACACACACACGGAGCACTTTATTCCACGAAGAAAGAAAGAAAGAAATACTCTATCCAGACGTACGCATTGTAGGCCACCCAAATCGCTCCCTGATTTATTTGTTGCTTTCCTCCGGACGGCGGGCCGGCTGTCGCCTGCATGGCCCGTCCGTCCGTCCGTCGGCGCGCCTACTCGATGCCGTACTTCTTCTTGAGCAGGCCGATGAAGTCGTAGACCTTGTCCGGCGAGTAGAGGCTCTTGGCGACGCTCTCCCGCTCGCCGCAGCGCTTGGCCCACGCGGCGATCTTGGGCGCCACCTCCGGCAGGCTGAACTCGCCGTACCTCTCGTAGCTGTGGAACCAGGCGGTGAAGGGCGCGAAGGCGGCGTCGACGAACCCGAATTTCTCACCGCCGAAGAAGGGCTTGTCCCCGAGCGCGCCGTCGAGGGTCTTGAGGATGTCCAGCATCTCGGCGCGCGCCTGCGCCTGCGGCTCGCCCTTGAGCTTCCAGAGGCGGGAGCCGCAGTCGTAGACCTTCTTGTCGACGTAGTCGGCCCAGAAGCGGGCCTGCGCGCGCGCGTAGGGGTCGGAGGGGAGCAGAGCGGGCGCGTCCGGGAAGGCCTCCTCCAGGTACTGGAGGATGATGAGGGACTCGTTGACGGCACGGCCGTCGTGGAGGAGCACCGGGATCTTCTTATGCACCGGGTTGGCGCGGAGGAGGCGGTCGCTCTTGCCGGCCATCAGGTCCTCCTCCGCGTACTCGTAGGGCAGGCCCTTCTCGGCCAGCGCGATGCGCACGCGCTGCCCGAACGGGCTCACCCAGAAGTCCAGCAGCACCAGCCCCTTCTCGCCCGCCATTGCTCCCGGTTGCCTTGAATCTCGACCGATCTGTGCTTGTGTTTGTGTTGTGTAGGCTGTGTGGGTGATGAGTGAGGATGAAGATGAGGTGAGCGGAGGATTTATAGGGGGGAGGGGAGGGTGGGATCGTGTGTATCCGGAATAGTCTGGCACGTTTTGACTAGAGCTAGAACGTGTGTGAGAGGAGATCGAATCGAACGGGTGGTGTACGTACCGGCTGGAGGATTCTGGGCCTTCGTTCGGTGTGTCACCGCTTGCGTCACGTAACCGGCGCACGAGGGCATGGGCCGGCATGGCACGTCTGTGTGAGCGGGACGAGTGGCTGGCTGGCTGGGAGGCCACACCGCGGGCTGCGGGCACGTCGGCGGAGAAGATCGGGGATCCTGGATTGGGGGAAAGATGTGATATGGGGTCACGTCATCGAAAGGAGCCAGTACTAGCCTGGTATTGCGGGATTGCATTTAATTTTGAGGGGAAATTAGTTACTTTTGATTTAATGCCAAGATTCGGCACTGCCAATCTAAAGTTGCCAATTTTTTTAGAGATGGTGAGAATTACTCCCTCCGATACATAATAATAGTAGTATAAGGGCGTTGTAGTTGGTAGTCAAGCAATTTTAACCGATTTTTGTAGATCTGCCAACATTTGACTTGCTAATTATTGGTACCAAATCGATTAAGCTCTTAACCTAGATAGATAAGCAAACCAGACCATTGCATGGTTTCAACTCAAACTCCATCTTGAGTTTAAACTATTGGATAAATGTTGAATACATGACATCGTCACCATATTGAGTAGATGCTAAGTGAATGGTATACCCTATTGGTAGAATTCAACATATATTATGGTCAGTGTTCTCGCACGGTTGTTACTTACAAATCGTGTGCGTGCGTGCGTGCGTGTGTGTGTGCTCTCCTAGAGTTACTCCAAAAATGAGGAGCGATTCACAAATCTTCAATGATTACGGTGGAGGGGTCAGGGCAAATTGAATATTTGTGCTCAGTCCACGAAATGCTTGGAATAGTATAAGGATAGTGACCCATCTTTGCAATTTGATTTGATCAAACAAAGACTCTCTCTCTAAATTTCTCCTTTCCTTTCCAGTTGTCTATCATGTAGATAGATATAAATACAATCACAACATTCAGCATCTTATAAACATAGAGTTGGGCAGCATGCAGTATGATATTGTACATACATGATTAATTCCAGATTTCTACTCTGTACATAAATGCAAAAGATCGCAGATCATGATTGGGTATCAAGCCAATCACATGGGACCATATTTTGCCTACTTGTACATCTTCTTAACCATAAGGTGCAGGTCACAAATAAATAATGACCAGCAACTTATTTGTCCATGTAGGTGTAGAGAGCATATCACAAATAAAAAGCAAACCAGAAAGAGCCACATGTGTGAGAATCGCAAAGACACATAACCATATAATCTGATAATAAATGGAATGAATTGGGCAAAGCGTCTTCACATCAACAATATGCATGTCCTAGCTTTCCAAGCCTCCTCCGTGCTCCCGGTTCCTCTAGTGACGTTCAACATAGATCATATATACATCCAAAGAGAAGACATCAAGCATGCCGTTGTGTTGGCTAGGCCTAAAAGGTACCGGGAATTATTTTGGGGCCTCAACCTGGTGTTCCATGAGAATTCGGTCATGTGCATGTGTCCGTCGCATGAATGTAGTCCAGTCAAGACCGCAGAGTCGCACCGATTCTTCTAAGAATCGCAGCCATGTGTCTTGGCCCAAAGGCCACAACTCAACTCCCGCCTGACCTTCTGTAATGTGTTCTCTGCTCTCCACCAAGGCCCGCCGATGCCGCCAGTGAATCTGCGACCCTGAAATCCCCCGTCAATTCGCACCCCACATGGATTTGTAGCGTGCACCAGTAACAGTATACAGAAATGCATGGCTGCATTTTTTATAGAAATGACTGCATGTAGTTGTTGCCGTAGATTTTTTTTTTGAGAAATTGTTGCCGTAGATGATATAATAGCTTGATTTTTTTTTGAAATATGAAATTTCATTTCAATTAACCACTGTGCCCAGCAATATCGCCGGCAATCAAGTCTCGGATAAAATTAGGAGCAGCGCCCGGCCATACGGCTTGGGACACATGCACCATCTTCGACCCGTGCGTCGCTAGAGCATCCGCAATATTATTACAAACCCGTGGGCAAAAAGAGATAGAAAAAGAACTAAAATGCAACATAGCAAGGGCATTAATTTCCCTAAAAAGGACTCCATTTGGCGCTAGATCGTAGTTCTTCGAGTCAGTGATAGTTTGTACCAAAATCTGCGCATCCGTCTCTACCAAGACGTTGGTCATTCCCCACTCCTGGGCATAGTTCAAAGCATGCACACACGCTTCAACCTCCACCAGTAGGACATCTTGGGCATACTCCACCCTTCCAGCACCAGCACCTGCACCCATCACATCTCCCATGTGGTCTCGGATCACAAACCCCCAGCCACCACACTTCTTGTCACTATGAAAACTTCCATCAATGTTAATCTTTAGAATATCTTGTGGCGGGGGCTTCCACCTTTGCACCTTTTTTGGATTTGAATCTTTGTGCTGTGCAAAGAACTCTAAATACTCCTTTGCATCAGAACCAGCCTGAAAAGCAAATTGCTGAATAGCTTGATTGCTGCTTGAAGCCCCAAACTGTGCGGCTCTGCGCTCGGGCATAACAATACAGCCTGTTATTTTTCTCAGAAAAAAACAATACAGCCTGTTAGGCCATTGATAGGCCTTTCAGTCCATTGTACGCCCAGGACGAGCGTTACCTGTTGTACGTCCATCTTCTCACCCAAAAAAGAACCTGTTGTATGTCCAGCATCTGTACGCCCACATCGATTCGGGGCAACTTGGCCACCTGCTGGTACTGACCTACTGAGTGCAAACAACCTCAGTGAAGCAAAGCTTTATTAAAAAAAACTCAATGAAGCAAAGTAGTATTGAATATCGTAATATTTAATAGTATTCTTTACCTTGAACAAATTTCAAACTGACTATTGTTCCATGTTGATCATGATGTATTCTACAATTTCTTAAAGTATTCAATTTTCATGATTTCTAATGATGATCGATTGGGGCTCATAAATATATCAGTATGTCACAAGTCACAACTACCCAATGGCATGTATTCTGAAGATTGCCAAATTCCTTAACTGCGCATATGGACATAGATATCTGGAGTTCTCAATACAATATGTTTCTATATATTTTTCTTCTTGCTAAGTCGGTACACATATATTGCTATTTATTACACCCTCTGTTCCTAAATGTAAGTCGTTTTCGCAGTTCAAATTATAATGCTCTTATGTTTAGGAACCGAGGTTGCATTTTATAAATAAGTAATGCTACGATGTTTGTTTAAAGCCAAGATTACTAACCAGGATGTTAGATAGATTGCGAGATTGATAAATGCAAGATGATTTAGACCCTATTTTGTTGGCTTATGGCTTCACCCAAAGCGGGTGAGCAATTTATTCCAAAGCTCTGTATCCTTCAAACTGAAACAAGGGAACGCTTCCTCACTGCCATCCATATGATAATCATGCACCTCCATCTTCTGTTCTTAATTGGCCACATGGACGTACAGTCCTACAGCTCCAGTTCAGGTTCTCATATACCTGAATTTGGTTCCTATTCCATCTCTGTTAATTCCATAGGTCAGTACCAGACTTCATCAAGCTTGCACTGTCAAATAATTTCGTTGCCATGCGGAGGCTGGTTGGGTATATCTGAGACGAAATAATGTATTTTCGAACAAAAAGAGACGCGTGGCAGGGGACGCAGGTGTGGGTGTCTCCTACAGTGGAGGCTCTTACCCAGACTCGAGGACTAATGCCGGGCTAAGAATAGATGGAGTATGGTCGCTCTTCCTATCGTGGTTGAGTGCACTGTGATGTGAGCGGCATACACTATCTAGCAACAGGAATGCCAAGGTGGCGGCTCCAGATTGTGGTCCACGTAGTTGCTCTCCGGCGGGTATCATTGCGATGGTGATGGCTCTCCTCTTGGGTTGTGTGGACAACGGGAGGTGTTGCGGCAGGTAGCTCGGACATGCCCACTTCTTGGAGGGGCGGTGTCCTGATCCGGATCTAGGGATCTAGCATCGCCGTGTTCTTCCTAGTGACCTCGCAGTGACACGTGTGACATGCCGAGCAAAAGCTTTATGCCTTGGAGTCGACGACGACGACACCCATGGGTGCTGCTTTCTTCGAAGATGTTGTCATGATTATTCTCTCCGCGTCAAGGCTCCGTGTGAAGACCTTTGTCTCGTGTGGACTCGGTAACGGTGACGCTCTGCGCCGGTTTCCCTCTGTGGGCGTTGTTATGGAGTTTAGGTATGCTAGGTCGTAGCATGGGTGTGATTAGTTTTCCTGGTGTTCGTTGTAGGTAACGTAGTCGCATGTGCTATCCGTGTGTCATCTATCTCAAGATTGACTTTGTAAGAGGGCTACGTAACCATCTTGTATTGTTCAGCGCCCGTGTACTTCTTCATGTGTTACTTTATATGGCCTGTTTAGAGAACAGAGACGCCTCTCTCTCTCTCTCTCTCTCTCTCTCTGCAAAATATTCTAAAAACTGAATTGATTTTGCATGTAGGGAAATCAGCATTGAACAAATCCAACAAAATGTGATTGCATCCAACGAATCTTCTATATAGTCGTCAGTCAAGAAGACACATGCAATCTTCTGAAACGCATGCGAGTCTATGACAGAACAAAATGCGGTTAGGTGTAGAAGGAATGATGGTTTAATGCGGGTCGGATGGGTCTGTATTGACTATATATCGGTTGTGAATTTCACATTTTCTTAGTACTCCCTCCATCTAGGTGTATAAATCATCTAACAAAAGTCAAATAATCTCAAAACACTTGGGTGCGATGTATTAACTTTCACCTCGTTTCTTGTTTCTTGATATAAATATAGGAACGAACCAATAAGAGATGTGAGGCATGTATGTTTTC